ATTAGCTAATCTTTTTGGCTCTATAACAAAGAACAAACAGCAAAAACATATACATGATCAAATACAAATCGTAGAATCAACTATTAAAGACTACCAGAACCCACTTGATTCTCCAATTACATTGAATAAACTACAGGACAAAATACAAACCCTCCAACCCAAAAAGGCCTGTGGTGTTGATGGTATCCTAAATGAAATGATCAAATATACAGACCACAAATTCCAATTGGCTATGCTTAAACTTTTTAACATCTTCCACAGCTCTGGCATCTTCACCAATATTTGGAACCAAGGACGGATCACCCCAATCCACAAAAGTGGAGACACATTTGAACCCAATAACTACCGTGGGATATGCGTCAACAGCAACCTTGGGAAAATCCTCTGCAATATCATTAACAGCAGACTCATTTATTTCCTTAGTGAAAACAATGTACTTAGCAAATGTAAAATTGGCTTTTTACCAAATTACCGTACAACAGACAACGTATTCACCCTGCACACCCTAATTGACAAAGAAACAAACCAAAACAAAGGCAAATTCTTCTCATACTTTGTTGATTTCAAAAAAGCTTTTGACTCAATTTGGCATGAGGATCTGCTATACAAATTGATGGAAAGCGGTGTTGGGGGAAAAACATACAACATTATCAAATCCATGTACAGTGGCTTGTGAAAGTATTCACCGCCCCTTGGCATTTTTCCAATTTTGTTACCTTACAACATGGAATTAAAATGGATTTTTCTGGGCCTTTGATTTACACAACATGCCTACCACTTTGAAAATTCAAAATATTTTTTATTGTGAAACAAACAAGAAATAAGACAAAGAAACTGAAAACTTGAGCATGCATAACTATTCACCCTTTGTAGAGCCACCTTTTGCAGCAATTACAGCTGCAAGTCTCTTGGGGTATGTCTCTATAAGCTTGGCACATCTAGCCACTGGGATTTTTGCCCATTCTTCAAGGCAAAACTGCTCCAGCTCCTTCAAGTTGGATGGGTTCCGCTGGTGTCCAGCAATCTTTAAGTCATACTACAGATTCTCAATTGGATTGAGGTCTAGGCTTTGACTAGGCTATTCCAAGACATTTAAATGTTTCCCCTTAAACCACTCGAGTGTTGCTTTAGCAGTATGCTTGGGGTCATTGTCCTGCTGGAAGGTGAACCTCCTTCCCAGTCTCAAATCTCTGGAAGACTGAAACAGGTTTCCCTCAAGAATTTCCCTGTATTTAGCGCCATCCATCATTCCTTCAATTCTGACCAGTTTCCCAGTCCATGCCGATGAAAAACATCCCCACAGCATGATGCTGCCACCACCATGCTTCACTGTGGGGATGGTGTTCTCGGGGTGATGAGAGGTGTTGGGTTTGCGCCAGACATAATGTTTTCCTTGATGGCCAAAAAGCTCAATTTTAGTATCATCTGACCAGAGTACTTTCTTCCATATATTTGGGGAGTCTCCCACATGCCTTTTGGCGAACACCAAACGTGTTTGCTTATTTTTTTCTTTAAGCAATGGCTTTTTTTCTGGCCACTCTTCCGTAAACCCCAGCTCTGTGGAGTGTACCGCTTAAAGTGGTCCTATGGACAGATACTCCAATCTCCGCTGTGGAGCTTTGCAGCTCCTTCAGGGTTATCTTTGGTCTCTTTGTTGCCTCTCTGATTAATGTCCTCCTTGCCTGGTCCATGAGTTTTGGTGGGCAGCTCTCTCTTGGCAGGTTTGTTGTGGTGCCATATTCTTTCCATTTTTGAATAATGAATTGAATGGTGCTCCGTGGGATGTTCAAAGTTTCAAATATTTTTTTATAACCCAACTCTGATCTGTACTTCTCCACAACTTTGTCCCTGACCTGTTTGGAGAGCTCCTTGGTTTTCATTTACATTTACATTTTAGTCATTTAGCAGATGCTCTTATCCAGAGCGACTTACAGTTAGTGAGTGCACACATTTTTCATGGTGCCACTTGCTTGGTGGTGCCCCTTGCTTAGTGGTGTTGCAGACTCTGGGGCCTTTCAGAACAGGTGTATATATACTGAGATCATGTGACACTTAGATTGCACACAGGTTAACTTTATTTAACTAATTATGTGGCTTCTGAAGGTAATTGGTTGCACCAGATCTTAGTTAGGGGCTTCATAGCAAAGGGGGTGAATACACATGCACGCACCATTTTTCCGTTATTAATTTTTTACAAAGTTTTGAAACAAGTTATTATTTTCGTTTCACTTCACCAATTTGGACTATTTTGTGTACGTCCATTACATGAAATCCAAATAAAAATCCATTTAAAAGACAGGTTGTAATGCAACAAAATAGGAAAAACGCCAAGGAGGATGAATACTTTTGCAAGGCACTGTACACAAACAACAAGTGTGCGGTTAAAATTGGCAAAAAACACACACATTTATTTCAACAGGGCATTGGGGTGAGACAGGGATGCAGCTTGAGCCCCACCCTCTTCAACACATATATATCAACGAATTGGCAAGGGCACTAGAACAGTCTGCAGCACACAGCCTCACTCTACTAGAATCTGAAGTCAAATGTCTACTGTTTGCTGATGATCTGGTGCTTCTGTCCCCAACCAAGGAGGGCCTACAGCAGCACCTAGATCTTCTGCACAGATTCTGTCAGACCTGGACTCTGACAGTAAATCTCAGTAAGACAAAAATAATTGTGTTCCAAAAAAGGTCCAGTTGCCATGACTACAAATACAAATTCCATCTAGACACCTTTGCCCTAGAGCACACAAAAACCGATAAGTCCCTCAGCCTAAACATTAGCGCCACAGGTAACTTCCACAAAGCTGTGAACGATCTGAGAGACAAGGCAAGAAGAGCCTCCTACGCCATCAAAAGGAACATAAAATTCAACATACCAATTAGGATCTGGCTAAAAATAATTTAATAAGTTATAGAACCCATTGCCCTTTATGGTCGTGAGGTCTGGTGTCCGCTCACCAACCAAGAATTCACAAAATGGGACAAACACCAAATTGAGACTCTGCATGCAGAATTCTGCAAAAAATACCCTCCGTGTACAACATAAAACACCAAATAATGCATGCAGAGCAGAATTAGGCCGATACCCGATACCCGCTAATTATCCAAATCCAGAAAAGAGCCGTTAAATTCTACAACCACCTAAAAGGTAGCGATTCCCAAACCATCCATAATAAAGCCATCACCTACAGAGAGATTAACCTGGAGAAGAGTCCCCTAAGCATGCTGGTCCTGGGGCTCTGTTCACAAACAGAGCCCCAGGACAGCAACACAATTCGACCCAACCAAATCATGAGAAAACAAAAAGATAATTACTTGACACATTGGAAAGAATTCACACAAAAAACAGAGCAACCTAGAATGCTATTTGACACTAAACAGAGAGTACACAGTGGCAGAATACCTGACCACTGTGACTGACCCAAAATTAAGGAAAGCTTTGACTATGTACAGACTCAGTGAGTATAGCCTTGCTATTGAGAGAGGCCGCCGTAGGCAGACCTGGCTCTCAAGAGAAGACAGGCTATGTGCACACTGCCCACAAAATGAGGTGGAAACTGAGCTGCACTTCCTAACCTCCTGCCAAATGTATGACTATATTAGAGACACAAATTTCCCTCAGATTATACAGACCCACAAATAATTTGAAAACAAATCAAATTTTGATAAACTCCCATATCTATTGGGTGAAATACCACAGTTTTCCATCACAGTAGCAAGATTTGTGACCTGTTTGCCACAAGAAAAGGGCAACCAGTGAAGAACAAACACCATTGTAAATACAACCCATATTTATGTTGATTTATTTTCCCTTTTTACTTTAACTATTTGCACATCGTTCCAACACAGTATACAGTATAGCCATAATATGACATTTGAAATGTCTCTATTCCTTTGTAACTTTTGTGAGTGTAAAGTTTACTGTTAATTTTGTATTGTTTATTTCACTTTTGTTTATTATCTATTTCACTTGCTTTGGCAATGTAAACATATGTTTCCCAGGCCAATAGAGCCCTTTGAATTGATTTGAGAGACAGAGAGATTGACAGAGCGAGAGACAGAGAGAGAGACAGAGAGAGGCAGAGAGAGAGAGACAGAGAAACAGAGAGCGACAGAGAGAGAGAGAGAGACAGAGAGAGGCAGAGAGAGAGAGACAGAGAAACAGAGAGCGACAGAGAGAGAGAGAGAGACAGAGAGAGGCAGAGAGAGAGAGACAGAGAAACAGAGAGCGACAGAGAGAGAGAGAGAGACAGAGAGAGGCAGAGAGAGAGAGACCCCAGCCACATATTAATCATCATCTTGATACTGTTATTGTGTGCCATAGGGGGCCTGCTGTTTGAAGTTTTAAACAGATGATATCTTCCAAGGATTAGATTAGAGACAGGCATCAAACCTGTCTTAAAGGGGATTTCAAGAATCCATACATATAAATTGGATGTCATCATCTTTTAAGTAGGGCTTGAGTAATAGTCCATGTTCTCTTACTAGACTAGTATCCCAGACTCCAATGCATACAATAAAGAGCCTTCTCTTTAGGTGGATAGTGTTCATATTTATTTGCAATGTAAATATGGCGAGCCACAGACATAATGCAAATGTCATTGATCCTCTCTAGGGTCATTAAGAGGTGAGTGCAAATTATGACCATCCAGAGACAGCACTGAGAAATCATAATGTACAAACCATAACCCCTATAAACAGAGATCTCTGCATTAAATGTTGTCTCCAGCTGGAGCGGATTTGTGTGTTTTATGTGTAAACATTGCAATGAGAGAGAGAGAGAGAGAGAGAGAGAGAGAGAGAGAGAGAGAGAGAGAGAGAGAGAGAGAGAGAGAGAGAGAGAGAGAGAGAGAGAGAGAGAGAGAGAGAGAGAGAGAGAGAGAGAGAGAGGATGGGAGATAAATGAATGAACGAACGGACAAATTAATCAATAGATGAATGAATGAATCCATCCATTTATTCATTCCATCCATAAATACACCCATCCATCCATACCCTGGACTTCGAACTGTCCATCCCCAGCTCGACGTCCTTCTTCAGGCTCCGTCGTCGGCAATGCAGCATGCCAACTATCCACCTAATGAGGTGGTAGAAGGACTTGGGAGTGGGAACGATGCTGAAGGGAGGAGGCAGCGTCTTGCCGTTGTCAAAGTAGGACAGCCACAGTTTGGAGCGTGCAAACTTCCACTCCACGTCCGCGTCATCCTGAGAGATAAACAGAGTTATTTCACTCTCTGAGTGAACACCCCCTGGAAGTCAAGAGATTGACTTAGTGAGGCTAGCTCAGTAAGTGTTACAAACACCATTATCAGAAACCTATTTGAACTAATGATAACCTGGTCACTTCTGTCTCTCTCATTGGATGTTATGAATTTATTGTAATGTTTTTACAATTTTATAACTGCCTTAATTTTGCCAGACCCCAGGAAGAGTAGCTGCTGCTAATGGGGATCCATAATAAATACAAATACAAATACTTCATTTGCTGTAGGTCTAATCTATGAGAGACAACAGTATTAGCCTAATACTGCCATCGAAAAGTCACAAGCTATTGTTATCTCTGATAGGAAATTACAGCAGAGGCCTCATGTCACCTCTTGTAGCTTGTGTTGCGGATTACCAAAGGAAATTCTCACAACACATAACATGGATCATCTCCAAATAATTGATTAAAACAATAATACATGAGGGGGGGGGGGGGGGGGGTGATTCATTGTGGCTTTAGCACGGCTGTACTGTGGTCATATGAGGCAAGTAGGAAATAGCAAAAAATATTCCCATAACAAGGATAATCTTGAAATGATTGATTTCAGAGCTATTCATAGCCGGCCCCCTGATGTTTCACAGTTAGAGACAACAGAGCATAGGTGCTTAGGGCATACTGTGCTACATACAGCATTATAGAAAAACCACAGCAAAAACAAACAGATTACCCCAAAATACACTATCCCTATAATTATATCCAAATGAAATGGTAGGTGTACAGATGCCACTAACACACCCCCAGGTTGAAGTTTTCCCCTAGGTATAGATCTAGGATCTGCTTCCCCTCCCCCAATCCTAACCATTAAGTGGGGAAAATGCTAAACTGACCCAAGATAAGGTCTAGGCTGGGGTAACTTCACCCTACACCAGTGACTCACCTCGATCTCTTGATAGGAGCTGTTGATCATGGCGATCAGCATGTTGAGCAACACCACCACCATGGTCACGTTGTAGATTCCGTAGAGCACATAGCCGATGTTCTCGATGAACTTGTGGTTGTACTTGAGCACCACGGAAGACACCTCAGACAGCCCAAATATAGACCAGAACAGAGTCTTGAAGCTCTCCTCCACCCTGTGGTGACAAGGAAGGAAGCGGAATGTCACAGAACAGACTGATTAGATCTAAGGGTTTCTAGTTTGTGGCTGTGCCCTAGTGAGACCACAAACTACATTTGGCTTTGGCCCAAGTGACAGGCGATAACAAAGTGCTACTTTAAATAAAGTGATGTGATTATGAAGTCACTTCATGTGTAGCCTAACTTATAAGGGGAGACATGTAGCTATATGATGTGTGGGGAATGAAGCAAATATCTTAGCATGTCTTGCTTGATACTAAAGTGAGGCATCATCCTGGGATATAGTATTCTGGTTGCCAAAGTGACTTTGAGGAAAATGAACAACAAGATTGAAGGATAGCTTCATGGGAATTGTGGCCATGAAATTATTCTTATTTTTTCAGGTGATGTCACTGTATTTGATAGTTTGTGTTATACGAATTCCACTGATGTCCTTGTTAAGGTCAGAAATGACCATTGGGAATCTTGGCAATGTTAGATATGTGAGTGTGTGTTCCATTTGTAAGTGTGTGTTCCATTTATGCCAAGCCAACTTGGCTAATAAAATACAATATGGACAATTGAGGAAAAGAATAACCATAACAATGGGAAGGATTTCATTTTCTCACGTTTGGAAAGAGTAACCTTGGAGGGAATCCACTCCATTGTGAAATAAGCCATTTTTTCTGAGCTGTCACAATTCCGTTTTGAGGCACTCTTAGAAATGGAGTCCAAGGTGGGCCATTTCCTACTTCATACTGCACTATACTGACTGAGTTGATAGACTGAATGGGCTAGCACTGCTTGATTGGACTCAGAGGAAGAAAAGAGCTCCCTACATGAATGGAGAACTTTTAAATGTTTTATGTAGATAGGTTCATGGCAGTAGATGTGTATCAATCGTATTCTCATATTTTAGGAGTGTATTCAATTCAGGGGCTTTGGGGACAAAACAGTAAGGTTGAATGTGTACAAAGCCTCCCTACTGACTGTGTACGAAGCAGTTCCTGTTACTGACTCCAGATCTCATCAATTAACATTCTCTTACACAAGTTGAATGAGACTGTCCCCATAAGTGTCTCCCCATATGTCTGTTCTAATAAGTGTCCTCAAGTGGTCACAGTGTCTGCTATAATCACTCACGTGGTGAATGCCGGGTTGACCTTCGCACCCAAGTAGTAGGAATAGAGGATAAACATGCCGATCATGAACGCCAGGAAGACCATGATGAACAGGACCATGAACTTGAAGATGTCTTTGACAGTGCGGCCCAGGGGAGATCTGGAGCGGTCCGAAGCTCTCGTTAGCCGGCAGGATGTAAGCGATGTGTGTGAAGCTCAGCACCACGGCGATGGCGTATAGTCCTTCTGAGATCAGCTGGGGGTCTGATGGCAGCCATTTGTCCCTCGCTACGTGGAGGAAGGTGTAACACTCAGTTGTTTTCATATCACTCACAGCAACATGTACAATGTGTTTAATGCATGGCGCTATATGATTGTTCTACACAATGGTTGGGTTACACTTTGTTTTACAGACTAACTAGGTCTTCGCAGGCTTTGAAATAACACAGTAAATGGTCATTACATAATAATTCCCCTAAAATTTGTATTTTGTTTCTTTGGGATTCATCAACACAAGCACCAATAAACCTCCTAATTTCTCAGTAAATATCAGGTAAAACTAAATGAAACAGGACTATAAAATACTACTATTTGCATACCACTTATGCTCTCTATGTCAAATTAAAAACAGGCATTTATGTGATTTTAAATGCCGGCCTTTTGTTGACCTTTTGCATGTTCTAACGATATACTAGAGTGTGTACAGTGTACCAGATTTATAATGTTGCACTTAAATGTGTCACCGTGCACCATTAGATAATTAGAGCTTAGTATGATTGGTGATAGACCTGCGTTAATTCTCTAATGATTCTTGAGATTAGCGCGCCTGTAGTATTGCCTTAAGCATAATCATTGATAACACCGTTACACGTCTTGCAGGCCATGTGGATAGGTATAATGAGTTTGTGGTGGTATTTGTAGATGTGTGGAAGATGCCTACTTGTCTTAACTGTGTCATGGGTGTATTCATTCTGCATCCTGACATGAGGAACATAATCAATACAGAAGCTCTTCTCTCACCGTAGGTGAAGTATTTGACCTCCGGGGGTAGGGTCACTAGGGAGAGATCAGTAGCGTGGACCTTTTCGTTGACATACTGCTGGGCTCTGGTGGCTTGGAGGAAGGCGAAGAACCGGGCGGTGAAAGCGGCGATGAAGATTGAGAGCATGCCGAAGTCCAGAACGTTCCACAGCTGCTGGATGTATTCCCTTGGCCCCTCGGTCCACAGCTCCTTACACTCAGACCACATCATCCCTGTAAAAGGCAACAAAGACGTGGGTTGTGTTCATTAGGCACCAAACAGATTAAAATGTTCTGAAACTGAGAGAAACATCCCTGCAGAGCAAACAGCAACAAGAGGACATGGGTTGTGTTTACTAGGTACGAAACAAAAGAAAACGGTCTGAAACGAGGAGGGACAGTCTGAGAAACACTCGTTTTCGTTTTCTGTTGCAAAAAAATTTGCTATGTCGTGCCCTAATGAACATGACCACAGTGTCATTGAATCGGCTGGCAATAGTGAGACTGAAGTGTGTTGATTTAGTAACCACCTAATGTCTATCTAATGGAACCACCTTCAGGGCCTGAAAATTGGTTAGTTTGTTTATTAAATCAACTGTCTGAATCTAGCTGTTCCTTTGAAGCCATTCATTGAATCACTACAGATTAAAACCTCTAACATAGCTGCCTGGCAGGGTTGGTCCTACAAAGCCAGAGCCCCCTGATGGGAGACCATAATATACAGGGAAATTCTCAAAACTTCTAATGAGAACCTTGACGACCTTGTACCTAGCCGATGGGGATTCCGGTGGGGTACCCCCCACCCAGGTAGTGGCAGTGCTGGCAACACTGGCTGCAGTAACTCATGGGGAGGGGGTCACACTCTGACAATCAGAGAGGGGGCATATTATTTAGGCCCTGGTGGCACAAAATAATCAAAGGTCTGACTGCACGGAGATGCTTGGGAAAAATGGTTACAACGGGGGACCAGAGTGTTTGTGTCTCAGGGGAAGAGGGTGGATCTGATCTCCATCACCTAGCACTTGAAATAGGTTAATTAAATCTCAAATTTTTGTCAATTTTTGCTCAATCTTGCATGCTTTCTCAAACAGCTGTAACTGTATATGCATTCGTAAATCAGGTCCATTCTTGAGTTGGGCTCTGGGATGTAACAACCGTTGAGCATCTGAGCTTATGGTTGATTGTGGAGGAAAGGGGTTGAGTGTGTTAGAGTATGTGCGTGTGTGTGTGTGTATCCCACATCTGTTGCTAGGGGGTAAGGATGTTAGGGAGAATATAGGATGAACCACAATAATTGTTTGCTAAAATAATAATTGATTGACAAAAATGTAATGTAATACAATGGCAATCCGGGTTATAGGTAACAATCCTTCGCATGAACTGCCGACAGTATTACGCATATTAATTGATAATGATGGAAATTAAGATATGCAAGATATTTGAATAGATATATATTTTTAATAGCTATATATATATATTGAGCTGAGAGCATTGGAAATGCTTTTGGCGGTTGACCTGCTTCTGTTTTGTGGGTGGCACTGTGTGCTGTTTTCGAAGGATGGGTCCTGGCCTCTCGGGGGGCCTAGGTATCTGGGGGGACGGGGGTGGTATGCCGATCGCTGGGATGACAACCCAACTTGGGATGGGGAGGGGCTTTAGCAGGGGGAATAGTGGAGAACAATTGGAGGGAATATACTTCTCCCATGGGCAAAGAAACTCTAAAGGGGTGATGATATTAATTAACAGTAATTTTGATCCAAATGTACAAATTGTCCAAACAGATCCGCAAGGTAGATGGATGATTTTAAATATGTTATTGGACCATAAACAGATATGTTCATTAACCTTTACAGATCAAATAATGATGATCCACACTTTGACAATATATATAATAAATTATCAACCCTGCAAGCAATACAAGACTCTATTATTATGGTGGGAGATTATAATACAGTTTTAAATAGCTCAATGGACCGTAAAGGAAATCACATTACAAATTATCACCCTCATGCTCTTAAGGAAATCATGAATGTCATGGATACATTAGAACTAGTAGATATATGGAGGATTAAATATCCTGACCTAGTCAGATATACATGGCGGAGACTCAATCAAGCTAGTTGTCTTGACTTCTTTCTTATGTCATTCTCATTGGCACCAAAAGTTTAAAAAGTGTTGATAGGGGACAGAATGCGGTCGGACCATCATATAATTGGCATATACATTACTCTTAATGAATTTCCACGTGGGCGAGTATATTGTAAATTAAATCAAAGCCTATTGGATGATAACTTGTTTTTAACTAGGACAGAGGAATTTATAACTGATTTTTTCCAACATAACATAGGTACAGAAAATCCCCTTATTGTTTGGGACACTTTTAAATGTGCCTTTGGATGCCATGCAGTTCAGTACTCATCTCAAAAACAAAAGCAATTTAGGTCAAAAGAGTCCATACTAACAAAGGAAATAGAAGGTCTAACATAACAGATAGATAGCAATAAAAACTGTAACATAGAGGCTCAGAATAAATTTTGAGGAAAAACAAAAATAAACGTATTCAAGAAAGATCAAGTGTAATATATTATAAAGATAAAGCAAACTCGAAAAATACACCAAATTATTTTTAAATCTTCAACATAGAAATGCTAATAAAAAGAATGTACTACAACTGGTTACAAATGACGGAGTCACCCATGATTCACCAAATTATATTTTGAAGGAGGAAGCAAAGTACTTTAAGCATATGTTTTCATTTCAGTTGCCTCCATCTCCTCTAACTGAAGCTAATTGTAGGGATTTTTTTCTATTGACTCATGTGAAGGTGAAATTACAGAGGAGGAACTTCTGGATGCAATTAAAGACTTTAAGTCCGGGAAAACTCCAGGGTTGGATGGCATACCAGTCGAGGTATACCAAACCTTTTTTGATATACTCAGAGGACCGTTATTAGCATGTTTTAACCACTCCTATGTAAATGGTAGATTATCAGACACTCAAGAAGAAGGTCTGATTTCATTATTACTGAAACAGGATACAAGTGGGAAATATAAAGATCTAAATCCATAAAAAAAATTGGAGGCCCCTTACACTTCAGTGTTGTGATCCAAAGATTCTAGCAAAATGTATGGCGCATAGAATTCAAAAGGTATTGCCAAACATTATTAATTCTTATCAGACAAGTTTTTACATGGACGATACATTGGAGATAATGTAAGGCAAGTACTGGAAACAATAGAACACTATGAAAAATCTGGGAAACCAGGCCTGCTACACATAGCAGACTTTGAAAAGGCATTTGATAAAGTACGACTGGAGTTTATATATAAATGCCTGGAGCATTTCAATTTTGGAGAATCTCTTATAAAATGGGTTAAAATCATGTATAGTAAACCCTAGGTGTAAAATAGTAAATAATGGCTATTTCTCAGATAGTTTTAAACTGTCAAGAGGAGTAAAACGGGGTTGTCCACTATCGGCATATCTATTTATTATGGCCATCGAAATGTTAGCTATTAAAATCAGATCCAGCAATCATATCAGGGCTTAAAAACAAAGGTGTCATTGTACGCTGATGATTCATGTTTTCTTTTAAATCCACAACCTCATAGAGGATCTAGATACATTTTCTAACCTCTCTGGATTACAACCAAATTATGATAAATGTACTATATTACGTATTGCATCACTAAAAAACACAATCTTTACATTATCATGTAGTTTACCAATAAAATGGTCTGATGGTGATGTGGATATACTCGGAATACATATCCCAAATGAAATAAATGATCTCACTCCAATAAATGTTAATAGAAAGTTAGCAAAAATAGATAAGATCTTGCTACCATGGAAAGGTAAATACCTGTCTATTTGTGGAAAAATCCCCCTGATTAACTCTTTAGTATTATCCCAGTTTACCTATTTGCTTATGGTCTTGCCTACGCCTAGCGAACAGTTTTTTAAAATATATGAGAAAGAATATTCCATTTTATTTGGAATGGCAAGCCAGACAAAATTAATGGACCTATTTATATAATGAATATGAATTCGGAAGACAGAAATGATTAAATATTAAAGCATTAGACCTATCACTAAAAGCTTCAGTCATACAAAAGTTATACTTAAATCCGAACTGGTTCTCTAGAAAATTAGGAAGATTGTCTCACCCCATGTTCAAGAATGGCCTTTTTCCCTTTATTCAGATTACAACCTCTCACTTTCAGTTATTTGAAAAGGAAATAATCTCCCAAATATCACTATTTCTAAAACAAGCCATAGAAAGTTGGTTGCAATTTCAATTTAATCCTCCAGAAATGACAGAACAAATAATGCAACAAATATTGTGGTTAAACTCAAATATACTAATTGATAAAAAAAAGGTATTGTTTAAAAAAGGTATAATCGTAAATGATATCATAGGTAGGACTGGTGGAGTTATGTCACACATGCAGCTAACAAAAACATATGGAAATGTCTGCTCTACCCAAAATTACAACCAAATAATTGTAGCATTACCGCAAAAATGGAAGAGGAAAGTGGAAGGAGGAAAAAGTAAGAACTTGTCTGTCGGCCCTGCATTAAAGAACATAATTGGTTAAAGAAAATTGTGATAAATAAAAAAGTATACCAGTTTCATTTAAGGACCAAAGGATTGACAGCCGTCCCATATAGATTGCAAAATAGTTGGGAAGAGATTTTTGACGTACCGATTCCATGGCATAGTGTTTATGAACTGATATGCAAAACGACACTGGATTCAAAACGTATAATTTTTCAATTGAAATTATTATACAAAATTCTTGCTACCAATAGAATGTTATTTATTTGGGAGATACAATCTTCCCAGCTCTGCAGATTTTGCTGCGAAGAGACAGAATCATTAGATCATTTGTTTTGGTACTGTCCATTTGTAGCTTGTTTTTGGACACAGGTCCAGGAATGGCTGAAGGATTGCAATATTTACCTGGAGCTAACCCTGCAGATAGCACTACTGGGTGATCTGAAAAGTCATAGTATTTTGTGAAAGAGCACAGTTAGAAAGATATGGCATATACAGTTGAAATCGAAAGTTTACGTACACTTAGGTTGGAGTCATTAAAACTCGTTTTTCAACCACTCTAAACATTTCTTGTTAACAAACTATAGTTTAGGCAAGTTGGTAAGGACATCTATTTTGTGCATGACACAAGTAATTTTTCCAACAATTGTTTACAGACAGATTATTTCACTTATAATTCACTGTATCACAATTCCAGTGGGTCAGAAGTTTACATACACTAAGTTGACTGTGCCTTTAAACAGCTTGGAAAATTCCAGAAAATGATGTCATGGCTTTCGAAGCTTCTGATAGGCTAATTGACATAATTTGAGTCAATTGGAGGTGTACCTGTGGATGTATTTCAAGGCCTATCTTCAAACTCAGTGCCTCTTGGCTTGACATCATGGGAAAATCAAAATAAATCAGCCAATAACTCAGAACATTTTTTGTAGACCTCCACAAGTCTGGTTCATCCTTGGGAGCAATTTCCAAACGCCTGAAGGTACCACGTTCATCTGTACAAACAATATTACGCAAGTACAAACACCATGGGACCACGCAGCCGTCATACCGCTCAGGAAGGAGACGCGTTCTATCTCCTAGAGATGAACGTACTTTGGTGCGAAAAGTGCAAATCAATCCCAGAACAACAGCAAAGGGGATGGCAGCATCATGCTGTGGGGGTGCTTTGCTGCAGGAGGGACTGGTGCACTTCACAAAATAGATGGCATCATGTGGAAGGAAAATTATGTGAATATATTGAAGCAACATCTCAAGACATCAGTCAGGAAGTTAAAGCTTGGTCGCAAATGGGTCTTCCAAATGGACAACGACCCCAAGCATACTTCCAAAGTTGTAGCAAAATGGCTTCAGGACAACAAAGTCAAGGTATTGGAGTGGCCATCACAAAGCCCTGACCTCAATCCTATAGAAAATGTGTGGGCAGAACTGAAAAAGCGTGTGCGAGCAAGGAGGCCTACAAACCTGACTCAGTTAAACCAGCTCTATCAGGAGGAATGGGCCAAAATTCACCCAACTTATTGTGGGAAGCTTGTGGAAGGCTATCCGAAATGTTTGACCCAAGTTAAACAATTTAAAGGCAATGCTACCAAATACTAATTGCGTGTATGTAAACTTCTGACCCACTGGGAACGTGATGAAAGAAATAAAAGCTGAAATAAATCATTCTCTACTATTATTCTGACATTTCAAATTTTTTAAATAAAGTGGTGATCCTAACTGACCTAAGACAGGGAATTCTTACTAGGATTAAATGTCAGGAATTGTGAAAAACTGAGTTTAAATGTATTTGGCTAAGGTGTATGTAAACTTCCGACTTCAACTGTAGAAGCAAACCGGATGGACATCATGAAAATGATCGGAGAGGTTGAGGGTAGAGGAAGTTCAGGAGTAAAAACAAACAAAATACAATTATTGTAAAATTGACTGTGTCCATAAAATGTATTTAGTATGTATAAGCTGGAAGTAGAGGCCTAAGCGTTGTTGTTCACTAGTTTACTCCAATTAGGGAAGGGGTTGTGGGGTTGGAAAGTAATAAAGGGAAATATATTTTTTTAAAGGATATGTATATGTATTTATATGTATGTATGTGTATATGTACGTGTATGTATGTATATGTGTATATATATATATATATATATATATATATATATATATATATATATATATATTTGCGAGAAGAAAAAACATATGGGGGATTGGAAGTATGCTGACAATTACATTGTTGGAAGTTACAATCTATCTGCAATATTAAAGCTGATCTACACCCCAAAAAAAACACCAAACAAATAAGATTTAAAAAAACATTTAAACAAAAAAATATAGCTTTTAAAAATTCAGAAGATGGAACATAGTTATAGTCACTGCATCGATTCGTTAACTCAATCTGTCAAAGGGGGAGAGAAAATTGATGAAATGTTCCCTCCTTAGAGACCTTTGATCCTGCATTTAGTTGTTTGGTGAATGAAGGTCAGAGGACCTCTTGGGTCATGTCAAAAGGCCGGTAGTGACTCATTATAATCACTTCCTGGTGTCGTGTCGCGTCGGCTGCTGGTGGCTATTGCTGCCAACCAAAGAGTCTGCTTAAGCTGCACCGTGTTCAAAGGCTTTTATTAAAAATCACGAGGTTACAGCATAAGGTACAGACACGCGAAGTCCGGAGAAGCAGTCCCAAATGAATCTCAATGCTTTCTGCCCCTCCGTCGTTTTTCCCCCCAGTATATATAACCTCCCAAAATGTGGGTGGCTCCCTCTACTGGCCAATCACCAGTCTGGTTTCTGCCCTATCCGACCAAACGGGATGCATCTGCAATGGCGTCAAACTCGACCAGGCTCGATATGAAGATCGTGTTCATTAGGGAATGCAACGGAAACCAATTTTTTTATGTTTTGTAGTTCCTCCCTGTATCAGTCCATTTTCTTCCATTTGATGCCAAATGAACACAACCCTGGAAACCTCCCCATGCTGAGGACAGAATGGAGACTGCTGTGTAGAGGAGAGGAAGGAGAGGGTCAATTTACAGATGTGTCACCGTAATTAGTATTTCAATCTTGCAGGAGCAGCAGGAGGACTGAAGACTGCTCCTCACCAAAATCTCATCAGATTTCCCCCTCCCCAGAGAGTTACCTGATTCTCTCACTCGCAAGTACGCACTGTCAACTGCTCGTTCCAGTTTAGGTCAGTCTGGCTGCTAAGCATTAAGTAAAACTGACCAGGGAAGCTATGGAAACTTTTTATTTTAAAAAGCTCATTACTGTCTATAACTATACCATATACTGTATATCAGTATAATTGTGAAAAGGCCAAGATAATCTCCTGACCATTGTTCCATACAGCTGCTGTTTTTTAAATGCTAGGTCCTTCAGAGCACATTGAAAAGAGATTACTGTTCTAAATAGAGCACAGTACATAAAACAATATATGTTTCATTTAATGTGAATCTAACCAGGATAGTCCACTCAGTAACACTTGAATCTAACCAGGATAGTCCACTCAGTAACACTTGGCACTGCTTTCAAGGGATACCTGGGAAATATACACTGAGTGTACAAAACATTAGGAACACCGGCTGTTTCCATGACATTTACATTTAGGTAATTTAGCAGACGCTCTTATCCAGAGCAACTTACAAATTGGTGCATTCAACTAAGGATAGCCAGTGGGACAACCACCCTATTATGATTGTATTTTTATTATTATTATTATTATTATTATTATTATTATTATTATTATTATTATTATTATTATTATTATTATTATTATTATTATTATTTATGGGGGGGTGGGGAGGGGGGGGGGGGGGGGGGGTAGAAGTATTACTGTTATACTATTCCAGGTATTCCTTAAAGAGGTAGGGTTTCAAGTGTCTCCGGAAGGTGGTCAGTGACTCTGCTGTCCTGGCGTCCTGGCATTGTGGGGGAGCTTGTTCCACATAGACTGACCAGGTGAATCCAGGAGAAAGCTATGATCCCTTATTGATGTCACTTGTTAAATCTACTTCAATCAGTGTAGATGAAGGGGAGGAGACAGGTTAAATAATGATTTTTAAGCTTTGAGACAATTGAGACATGGATTGTGTGTGTGCCATTCAGAGGGTGAAATATTTAAGTGATCTTTTTGCACCCTGAAACATGACTCTGATGAATGTCCTTAACATGTTAAACAAATAAATCCTCTCTCACCTGTGACCCAGACCATGATGAGGATCTCAGTCCAGCTGAATTCAGTGGTCTTGACCCGGTAGATCTGCATGGGGTGGTCAGTGACGGTCACGTTTGGCATGGTGCTGATGCCCTCGAAGCGGTCCGATGCGTTGAACAACAGCAGGCACAGGAAGATAATGAAGGAGGAGGCATGGGTCACAAACTTCATGAAGGGGCTGCGCAGGACATTGCCCAGCTACAGGAAATAAGAAGGTCATTTAGCAGATGCTCCCATCAATAATGACTTACAACCAGTGCATTCAACTTAGGGAGGTAAAACAACCACATCATAGCAAGTAAAACCTTAAGGTGGGATTGGTGGGATGCACAGGCATAATTCAGCCAATAAGAAGTCTCTGGAGTAACTATGGTGCAACCACCTCAACCTATACTACAAAGCACGATCAAGGAGTTAGCCAGCTAATTTGCCTACACATCCTTGAAATGGGCTTGGTCTAATTTTCTCAACAACCAAAAACACATACATGTACATTTAGCTTTCTTAATGAACCAGAAAAACAGTTATTTCTGCTTGTTTATCAAAGTTAGTTGGCTAACTCCTTGAAACTGCTTTGTAATATACCCCTCAGATGAAATGAGTTTGTTGTGAAGTCTGGAGTAACTTTACAACAATCACAAATCAATTCAGTTTAGGTGGTCGTATCAATTGATTTAAACTTTATTTGGTTTCGTTCATGATCTATACAACTGAAAAGCTACTACTAGTCCTAATCACATTTTTATTCCCACCAATTGGCCCCTCCTGAAAAACAAATCGAAGTGTTCTCAAGGTGCCACCCCTAAATACAAATGATGCCAGCAATAGTAATGATGTCAACAACCCAGACTGGCATTGTGCCCGCCCACACCACTAACCCATAAAGATGCCCAGCAGTCGCTCTGCTTCTCTCCATTCCTCTTAAAGCCCTCAATGATTAAAACACACATTCTTAGCCTTGGCTTTATGAGAGGGTAAACAACATCCCTAAAGATAGAAAATGTAACACTTACATTTCATTGGAGCGTTGCGAGAGACTCTCGTTATACTACTGATGAAACCCCTTGAAAAAACAAATCAAGATGTTCTCAATCACCCCTAATATCACATCACTCCAGAATATATGCATATCCAACAACCCAGACTCGCACTATACCGTCCCTCCGACACACCCTACACCCTAACATTACCCCAGCATCCTGCTTTCTCACACTCCACTACTTAATAGCCCTCTAGACTATTTAGACACACATTCTCTACCCTAGCTTATGATATTCACCCCAACTCCTAGAATAACAACTCTAGACTTAATTTACTGAGCGTCAGACTCTTACCTCACACCTAGAAACCCCCGACAGCTTATACTATAACCCACCTCGGTAGACATTAGCTGAATATACAGACAACCCTCACATCCTAGACTATCACCCTCCATTAGACTATTACCCTCACACTCCTAGACTATTCCACACCCTACACACCTCCCCCTAGACTATTTAGCCTCACACTCCTAGACTACTTACCTCACACTCCTAGACTATTCACCCTCACACTCCTAGACTACTTACCCTCACACTCCTAGACTATTTAGCCTCACACTCCTAGACTACTTACCCTCACACTCCTAGACTATTCACCCTCACACTCCTAGACTACTTACCCTCACACTCCTATACTATTTAGCCTCACACTCCTAGACTACTTACCCTAACACTCCTAGACTATTTAGCCTCACACTCCTAGACTACTTACCCTCACACTCCTAGACTACCTACCCTCACACTCCTAGACTACTTACCCTCACATTCTTATACTTATTTACCCTCACACTCCTAGACGTATTTACCCTCACACTCCTAGACTATTTACCCTCACACTCCTAGACTACTTATCCTCACACTCCTATACTTTTTTACCCTCACACTCCTATACTTATTTACCCTCACACTCCTAGACTTATTTACTTTAATCACAGGTGACTGTAAATATCTGTTTTACTTCAAGAGGAAGTTTGAGTAATGGACACATATATAATTACTATTTTATATGTAATTCTATGGGCTAGAAACAATACTCGTCATATGCTCTGGTTTGAGTTGAGATAACTGAAAGGGAACACAACTGGTTAATTTTGTCCCAACACAGCCTCCGTATTTCACTTTGAAATCTACAGCCTGGTTATGCTCCAGTTGATCTACCTGAGAGGTTTTGAGTGGCAGGAATGATGGCGGTGGGTAGACTCACATGCCAGACTTCTATCTATACTCTCTTGGCAGATATTACTTGTCACATTGCAAAACAATCATCAATCAATCAAATTAACATCAAACACATTTATTTTATAAAGCCCTTTTTACATCAGCAGTTGTCACAAAGTGCAATACAGATACCCAGCCTAAACCCCCAAAGAGCACTGTGCAGAGGCAGTGGTTAGGGAAAACTCCCTAGAAAGGCAGGAACCTAGGAAGAAACCTAGAGGAACCAGGCTCTGAGGGGTGGCCAGTCCTCTTCTGGCTGTGTCGGGTGGAGATTATAGCGGTGAAACTGCCACGTCCGTTTGCGATATTACAACAAAGACGTTACGGCAAACAACGAACACCTCTGACATCATTGTACATCATTTCACGCACGATGGAACAGCAGAGTATGTACTGTGGTTTTTTCTCCACCATGCTCATTTTCTCAAAACAAAAACAATAACACATGTACCTATTGTACATTTCAGCTACAAGGCCAGATCATTCTTCAAGATGTTCAAACGTTCATAGATGACCAGCAGGGTCAAATAATAACCAGAGTGGTTATAGAGGGTGCAACAGTTCAACATCTCAGCGTGCACGTACATACAAGCATTTGTGCAGTTTATAAACAAACAGACTCCATCAACATTTCTCTGACTACAACTACATTGGAATTCTGACCAAAGTGTTTCAGGCTGGTAAGCGACACTCAGTGGGTATGTCAGTGGACGTGGTACTCTTACCCGACTGCAAGGGGCGAACCAGTAACCCACAGCCAGCATGGGCAGACCCAGGGCCACAGCCACCACCACCAGGCACTTCACAGCGATAGTCTGCTCCCTCAGGCCAGACAGGTTCTCATACCAGATCGTCAGCAGCTGTTGCTGGCAGTTGGGGTGGGCCACGAACTGTGGGGGAGGAGAGAGAAAACAGGAAAGTTAATGCAATCGGGAAGCATCCTGGGGAAGCAGGGATGAGCTATATACTGTATTTATAATAGAGCTAATACAATGGGGAAGCAGTCTAGGGAAGCAAAGCGGTTGAGTGGCAGAGCTGGTTCATCCTCTACACTGCCATTCCGTTTAGTCTGGACAATGAGGATGAAAACCCAGTTCTGAATCTATTCTGTAGGCACCAGGTGGACACCAGACAAAAGGGGACTGCTGAGTGGAGGCACCAGTCATTGGTTGGTCATTTGCATTTTGAGTGGGCCTATAGTTTGTGTGTGTGTGTGTGTGTGTGTGTGTGTGTGTGTGTGTGTGTGTGTGTGTGTGTGTGTGTGTGTGTGTGTGTGTGTGTGTGTGTGTGTGTGTGTGTGTGTGTGTGTGTGTGTGTGTGGGTGTGGAGCGAGAGAGAGAGAGTCTAATTTAATCACATTAACAGGCTTGATCAAATCTAGGGGAAATGCATTACGCTCTCGTCAGCGGTGGCTGGTGTGGGGAGATTTGGGTAGGTGGTGTTCCCTGTCTGAGTAATGGAAGTTTTCAATCAAAAGCCACTGAGCCATTAATGAACTGAACAGTTCTCTCTGTGGGTTTTCTTGACACTGTCTGCCAGCCCAGTCAATCCACAATCATTTTATAATAGCAAATGTTTGGTTATTTGCTCTGTAAAGACCAAATACTACAAGATAAGAACATTAACCAGTATCAAAGGAGTGTAAAAAGTGTGGGTTCCCATGTTCATTCTGAAACGGGAACAAACAGACATGAAATTCCAATTGAAGAAAATAAAAATGGACGGGAGTGGGGGCCATTTCCTGGGATTGACCCTCAAACTGGGATTTAAATGGGATTGACCATCAAGCTGTTGCTCCCAAGTACTTTGAGAATAACTTGGTCAAGTTCATTGATTGCTTTGAGATACAGACACATGAATTCTGGGTCAGAGAGAGATGCATTGCCACCTGTAGCAAGAAACAAGTTCCATCCTCAAGTGTGCAATGTGTTCTGAATGGAACCCACTAGGTTAATGAATAACACACCTCTGTGCCTTTGGGTTTTTAATGTCAAGGTTGTGCTACCTCGGCTCCCCCTTTTTGCTACAAGGTTAGCAACGACTAAATTGGAAAATATGGCCAACTAATTATGCTGTTGAATGAACAATCGAGGCGAAGCCAGAACGGCTATGAATAAGGAGCAGCGAGTCTATTATTATCGATTCTTTGGAGAGGGAGAGCCGTGTGGCGTTGGGATGATTTGTCAGTGTACAAAAAATCCTGGGACAAGAACGAGATGGTGTTCAAAACTCAATGTCTGTCAGGGGTAGCTAGCTAGGTGTTCAAAAGCTCTAATGGTGCTTTGGGTCATCCTGAAAGATGTCACATTGCCTTACGGTGTTTTCAAACGCTTTTAAAGCTATTTAGTATGATGTAATGGTATTTTATACAATTTTATAAGGCCCCAACTAATGATTCAACTTGCTATGCAACTTCCTTTTGATTTAATTTATTTTATGCATTATCTAACTTTGCGAATTTTAGCCAACTAACTATAATGGCATTGTTTTCTTCGATTGTCTGATTCACACTAAAGATCAACTTGCTGTCAAACTCTTTTTCAGTTAATCTTAAAAAAATATATTTTTATGATTATTTACTGTGAGTCACATTGACCTGCAAATCTCAGCATCATTAACATAGCAAGTGGCTAATCAAATGGCTAACCGGACTATTTGCATTGATCTGTACCAGTATTCCCTATAAGCCCGTATGTTATTAGTTATTGTTGCTCATTTATTTTTATTATGTTTATATAAACATTTTGTAACTCATTACCTTAAACGATTGTTTGGTTAAGGGCTGTTGGTTCTGCGCATTTGGTCCAGTTGGGACGGTTAAGAATGCATCTCAGTGCTAGATGCGTCACTACACCAGACTCTGGTTCAATTCCAGGCTGTATCACAATCCGGCGGTGATTGGGAGTCCCATAGGGCGGCCCAGCGTCATCCATTTTTGGCCGGGGTAGGCCGTCAATGTAAATAAGAAGGTGTTCTTAACTGACGTGCCTAGTTGAATAAAATAGAAAATGTGACAAACATTATTTTGTGTGAAATGCACACAGAGCCGGATGATATATTGACTTTAGTTGGCCATGTATATTCAACTATCTGAACTATTTTGAAAAGTTTGAATTTTAAAACAAAATGTAACCAATGATATGCTATGGTCTAAGGCACTGTGCCACTAGAGATCCTGGTTCGAATCCAGGCTCTGTCGTAGCCGGCCGCGACCGGGAGACCCATGGGGCGGCGCACAATTGGCCCAGTGTCGTCCAAGGTAGGGGAGGGAATGGCCAGCAGGGGTGTAGCTCAGTTGGTAGAGAATGGTGTTTGCAATGCCAGGGTTGTGGGTTCGATTCCCACGGGGGGGGGGGGGGGGGCAGTATGAAAAATAAAAAAATAATGTATGCACTCACTAACTGTAAGTCGCTCTGGATAAGAGCGTCTGCTAAATGACTAAAATGTAAATGTAATATGCATTACCCTAGATGACAGGTTGTTTATAAGCCCCACGCAGCCATGTTGGTACTCCTCCATTGTAAAAAAAGATTTGGGACGATATAGAAATACATTTATTAATGTCTACATTCGTTTTTGGCAAGTATATTATATTACAGACACTTAAATGCATACTTTTAAATTATATTAAGTGAACTGAACATGGAAATAAAAAATAATAAAAACAAATTCCTTAAAATATATATTTTTAGAGAGTAATAATGTTACTGTAATACATATAATTTTGTCCGTGAAAGATTTTAGTGAAATACTGTAGAATTTCATTAATTCCTATGGAGGACTGCTCCTACTGGGGAGTACCAATATGGTTGACCGGTGGCTTCAAAGTCTCTCACTGGCCATTACATAGCATAAGCAATCCAGGGTTTATACACATCATTTTACTTTAAAAGCGCCCATCAGAGGGAAATGCCGCCCCTATTTCGATGTCATTCTTGTTTAGGTTCCACCTCTGAAGAATGACGCAGGCTACTTATACATATTCACGAATTAGGGGAGGGAAAGAACGTCATAATGATTTCCACGTGGAGTGATCGAGAAATATTAGCCAGCTGGCTAGGCTGGTTCTGCTGGAGTTGACATTAGCATAATAGGGAAAACTTCACCACAGATGGAAACCAGTATCTTGAACTTCACCACCGACGAAAACCAGTATCTTTGACTTCACCACAGATGGAAACCAGTATCTTTAACTTCACCACAGATGGAAACCAGTATCTTTGACTTCACCACATATGGAAACCAGTATCTTTGACTTCACCATAGATGGAAAACAGTATCTTTGACTTCACCACAGATGGAAACAAGTATCTTTGACTTCACCACAGATGGAAAACAGTATCTTTGACTTCACCACAGATGGAAACCAGTATCTTTGACTTCACCACAGATGGAAAACAGTATCTTTGACTTCACCACAGATGGAAAACAGTATCTTTGACTTCACCACAGATGGAAACCAGTATCTTTGACTTCACCACAGATGGAAACCAGTATCTTTGACTTCACCACAGATGGAAAACAGTATCTTTGACTTCACCACAGATGGAAAACAGTATCTTTGACTTCACCACAGATGGAAACCAGTATCTTTGACTTCACCACAGATGGAAAACAGTATATTTGACTTCACCACAGATGGAAAACAGTATCTTTGACTTCACCACAGATGGAAACCAGTATCGTTAACTTCACCACAGATGGAAACCAGTATCTTTGACTTCACCATAGATGAAAACCAGTATCTTTGACTTCACCATAGATGGAAAACAGGATCTTTGACTTCACCACAGATGGAAACCAGTATATTTGACTTCACCACAGATGGAAAACAGTATCTTTGACTTCACCACAGATGGAAACCAGTATCTTTGACTTCACCACATATGGAAAACAGTATCTTTGACTTCACCATATATTGTTATCTCCGAAGTTTTGGTATCTTCCATAAGAGACATGCGTTTTTCTACATTATAATGGACACTGTGAAACCTTTGGTAGGTAGGCTGCGTGCATGAGCCGTGCTCATGGTTCTCACAGGGGAAGTGAAATGATAGGCTACAATTACTTTGCTCATGATGCATGTCGGAAATGACACCCTGAGTGCATCAGACACAAAACACCAATACAAATGTTACAACAGCACAGCAAAATAGATAAACAAGTTCCTTGAATGTTCTTTTGCAGGTGCCTGATCATTATAGGACAGACACTTGTGGTTTAGCTACACCAATCAAAGCAATAAAGCTTGTAGTGAAGTAAGACTTTAGTGGTCAAAACCATTCATCTTGGGGCAACGGGGGAGCATGGTTGCAAAATGCAATCATATCACGCAATTATACCATTTATAAAATGTATATATTTATATATACTACCAGTCAAAAGTATGGACACACCTACTAATTCCAGGGTTTTTCTTTATTTTTACATTGTAGAATAATAGTGAAGACATCAAAACTATGAATTAACACATGTGGAATCATTTTTACTCTGCTTCGTTGGGAAGGGCACGTAACCAAGCATTTCACAGTAAAGTTTTCAACTATAGAACTGTTGTATTAGGCGTGACAAATATGTGACATATACAAATACAATTTCATTTGATTAAGCCCCAAAATCACAGTGGTGGTACAAAGGCATCTGTCACAGAGATTAGTAATACATAATCTGTAGTCTACAACAACATTTTGCTGGATAAAATAGATCTTTACAGTGAGGGAAAAAAGTATTTGATCCCCTGCTGATTTTGTACGTTTGCCCACTGACAAAGACATGATCAGTCTATAATTTTTATGGTAGGTTTATTTGAACAGTGAGAGACAGAATAACAACAGAAAAATCCAGAAAAACGCATGTCAAAAATGAGGGAAATAAGTATTTGACCCCTGTG